CAGAGGCGGATTTATCTTTTTTACGGCTATAGGCACCAAAAATTTGCCGCTCCTATAATAGGTGAAAAAGTTACAATACCCCTCCAAAATACCTACTCTAAATATTTAATATATAGACAATAGTAGTGGACATCCATTTTAATTTTTAGACTATTTTTTTCGCCTGAAGTTATTTACGACACGCGACTCGATGTTTCAAACACAGATTGCGAAATAATATAATAATTTAATAACCAAATTTTTGATTATTATTATCATTATTCGTTACAGTTCTGAGTTCATATGATTGTCATATGTCGAATTAGTAATATAGTGTGGCAGTGTGAGTATTTATTTTTATCGAAATTACGACGACGCGCGACGTCGATCCCCGATAAGAATAATAAAACCATTGTTGCTTTATATATTTTTATGACCCATGCGGGCTCTGGGTGGACTATACCAACGTGTTAAAATATATAGTATTATCAAAAACTGTTTTCTATATAATTGTTTACTATAATATTTATAGGTAATGACTATAAATTATAATGAACCAAAATAGATTGGTATACTGAATATCATATACGATGTACTATAATATGTTTGATGTTTTTTAATAAAACACTACAAAATTTGCCGCCCCCCAAATTTTGCCGCCCTAGGCAGCTGCCTACAATGCCTAATGGGAAATCCGCCTCTGCCTCCAGGTGTTGGCAGTAGAGGCAAGCCATATCAGGGGCGCGCTTCATCCGGTGTAGGTAGTACCTGAAACACCTTTGTCCCGTAAGAGCCTGCGTTACATAGAACGTGAGGTCTTTGGGACACCTTCTCATTCATCTTAGCAGGTCCGGAAGAATCGTGTGCGTCCAGGCTCTTCTAATGCCACGACTCCACCTGTTCGACCAGGCAGCAAGCAGGATGTCACGCTCTGCTCACCGGATCTCATCCTTTTAGTCAGCTCTGTCCGGGTCGTCAAGTTTATTTCGGACTCTTTTGCGTTCCAAAGCAAGAAGATCAACCGGAGGAGTTCCCGCCAGAAATAAGGCTGCCTCGGCCGAGACTGTGTGGTAGGCCCTCGTAACTCTGAGAGCCGCAATCCTCTGTGCCTGAATCATGAGGTTTCGTCAGATAGCGTACTTGCATACTCTTTCAGCCCACGTTGGACAGGCGTACAGCAGCCTGCTGTTCACCACTGACATTAGCAGCGCTCTCTTGGACTGTGAGGGTCCTCCAAGGTTGGGCATGAGCCGTCCTATAGCCAGTGTTGCCTGAGACGCCTTCCCCGAAACAGTAGTGAAGTGTCCACTGAATGTAAGGTGTATGTCCAGATGGAGTTCCAGGTATCGCAATTTCCTTAGCAAAGGAACTGTGTGACGCCCTACAGCGAACACCGGATCCCGATACGCCCACTTCTTAGTCAGCATGATGGCCTCGGTCTTGTGCCGTGCTAGTTAAAGTCCATGAGCGCCCATCCAGCCATCGATCGCGTCTAACGTGGGGTTGACCACCTCCTCCAGGGTGTCTGAAGTCTCTTCGACTGCAAGTAGGGCTAGGTCATCTGCAAAACCGACAAGCTGAACCCCCTCCGGAACGTCCATCCTGAAGATGTCATCGTAGAAAACAATCCACAATGTGGGGCCAAGGACCGACCCTTGCGGGACACCCCCTGTGACCGGTCTGTCGGTGCTGTTCCCGTCAGATGTTCTAATAATAATTGTACGTTTCTCCATGTACGACCGTACAAATTTTAGGAGGTATCGAGGGACTCCTCTGCGTCGGAGAGCCTCGTCCACGTGCTTCCATGGCGCAGAGTTGAAGGCATTCTGAACGTCGAGTGCCACCAGGATGCATAGTTCCTGATTTTTTGAGGGTCTATGGTTGGCCCACTTAGCCAGGTCAAGAACCTTATTGATGGCGTCCTCAGTGGAGCAACCCCTTCGGAAGCCAAACTGGTTGGTACTGAGTAAACCAGTTCTCTCTAGGTGCTCGTTAAGCATGAGTAAGAGAATCCTCTCGAGTAATTTCCCAGCGGTGTCTAGCATGCAGAGAGGCCGAAAGCTAGATGGATTAGATACTGGCTTGTCCGGTCCTTTATGAAGAAGTAGAAGTCTGGCCCTTTTCCACCTAACAGGAAATACTGACTTGCTTAAACATTTATTGTACATTTTAACAAATATATCGGGGGACCTATTGGCAATCAGCGAAAGCATCTCGTTATTAATCCCATCCAGCCGGGTCACTTTGCCCATTGACAGTTTAGAGACTGCTAGCCTGACCTCCTCTGCGGTTATGGGCGGGCACTCATTACCATGATTTAAGTTGTAACCATCGGCAGTGGTGGTTTTGAAGTTAGGATCTACTTGACCATCCATCGGCACACGTTGCCAATTGATAATTGGCATAGAAGGGAATAGGTGATCAGCAATCTCTTTTTCGCGTCCTATCGCCGCTATACCTAGTGGCTGTCTGCCCAGCCGCCTCGAAACAATTCTGTATGGCACACCCCAAGGATCGTTATCTACCGATGCACAAAGGGCAGCCCAGCTTGGATTCTGTGACTTACGGATGGAAGCGCGTAAAGTCTTGCGTGCCTTTCTGAAGGCGATTCTTTCCGCTGTACTGCCATCAGGACGTTGTCTCTTAACCACTCTGAGATATAAGCGCATATTCCTGATGCATTCGGCTCTAAGATCGGCAATCTCATGGTTCCACCAATTAACTGCTTTCCGTTTGTGGACTCCGTAGACTCTTCCTGGCATACAGGAATTGCAGGCATTAACCAGATAGTTATCGAGAATCTCAGCTGCGCCATCCGCCGATGCGGGCTCCTCCAAAAACGGTGGTCCCTCATCCAACTTTCAAGAGAGCGCAGCATGGTCAAGCTTACGTGAAGCCCATCCTAGATGTTCACCCCGTCCCATGGGTACGTTATCATTAAGAGCTCGCGGGTAGGGAATGAGGTTGAATGCGATGTAGTTGTGGTCGCTACCGGAATAATCATCAAGGACCTCCCAGTCCACTACCTCGTAGGAGCCAGGGCCCGAGAAGGTTACATCAATAACCGAAGAAGACGCCCACGCCCCTCTCTGGAAGGTAAACTTCCGACGTTGTTGGTCCAGAGTCCAAGACTTGCAGCAAAGGCTTTAAGAACTTCTCCTTTACTATCATCTACACTAGAGCCCCAGTACGTGGACTTAGCGTTAACGTCACCCGCAACCAGGAGAGTTTCATCCTCTCTTTCCCGCTGTCGTATAGCTTGGTCAAGACCATCCAGGAATCCCATAAAGGCCTCCAGGCGGTCCGCAGCAGAGTCACTGTTGGGGGTCCAGTAGCAGCTGAATACTCTAACAGTCCTGAATCGGAGCCATTCAAAGCCCGAGCCAGAACCGGACTCCTCCGCTATGGTGCCCACAATGGTAGTCAGTGCTATTGAGCACCTCCCGTCTGAACTGGATGCCCAGCTGAAACGCCGGTTACCTACCGAGTACATCTAATACAGTACAATATGTACGAGATTCTGCGGCATGTCGGCAGCGATTATCAATGTATTTGGTATATGATGGGCCGGTCTATGATAGTAATTAAAGACTGAATAGGCAATGACTACATAAAGCCAAAGACATAATAAAGATATTATATTAGTAAGTCTAAGATATTAATAATATATAGAAGGAAGCATGCATTAATGGGGAAGAGAGAAAGACTATTTTTATCATTACCTCTCATTCTGGCTGATTATACAACTTTTTTTATTTCAGAAATGCGCAACAAAAGTTTGTTAGGAATTTTTTTTGTTTAAACCATTTTATACCTATATTCATAACTACTTTGTTAGTCTTCATTAAAGACACTAGCAACTTTTCTTTGCTCTCAACTTGAATATTATTAGCATTAAAACATTGTTAGAAAAGGATAAATTAAAGATTTATTTGTTAGAACAGTTTCACCAAAATAAAATGATTATTGAATATTTATTTAAAACCTAACATTACTTTTAAGGTCGCCTCTGTAAGTCATATTGTATTTATTTATAATTTTCTGACTGAGATCAGATAGTGATTGGAAGTAAATATTTTCTGAAAATACAATATGTAAACTCAATAAAATATAAGTACAAAATAATTGTTGTACTTTTTCATATATTTAGGAAAACTTTGTACACAATTTATAATTTTAATTTCAAACTGATTAATTATGATCATTGCTGGATGGAAAAAAAATGTGTTCTGAAAAGCTTTATTCTTTTGATATTGTTGTTGTCTTGCTGTTTTTTGTTATGTATTCACAATTATAAGTGAGGTATAAAGGTCCCTAAAATACTGAGAATTCACATTTTTAATCCCCCTGCCATTGCCCTTCCAAAATACAAATTAGTTGATACAAAAAAAAACGCATTCAGATACCAAAGATCAGAATTTAAAGAAACGAAATATCATCTTCTAATCAGGCATAATATAATCATTTTTAAGTAAATACGTGTCAGTATGTATTTAAGGAGTTTAGTATAGGCAAAACTTAAGACACGCAATGCGTGACTTGGAACTATGTGTTCCGTGAATGATTATTATATTTTATTAGTGTGGCTATAGTGACATGGGTGATATTTAATTGTCGTCTATTATAAACTTACTTATTGTTATTTTACCTGGAAAGTTCAACAAATATTTCAGAAAACAAACATTATAAAATATACACTACCTATGGCATTAGTGAAAAAAAGAATATACTATATTATAGTATAATATTAACGAGTGTTAATGGATATATACATATATATATATTATAAATTTTAATAATAAATATATACAAAAAATAAATGTTTTATTTATCATGTAAGGATAAAATATTTATCAAACTTTCAGATTTGTTGCATTCATAGTATTATAGAGTCCCAAGTTTAGAACAATTGATCATTACTCATTATATATGTTACACCTTAAGGGCTGGTGGATTTTGGGAAGTCCATGATGACCTCTAAGTTCTAACAAGCCCAATATAAAATAAAATACAAGGGTACATAATATAAAAACATATTAATAACACAAACCTTGATTATTTATACTAAAAATTATGACATATTTGATACTGTACAAGATTTTATAATTACTCAATTGTTTTTAATTTAAGTTTAAATATGTATTTAAGAATCCATTAAGTATTATATAATATTTAACTATTAGGTCATAATATTAAATCTACATTTTTAGAGGGCAAACTGTGTATATGCAGGCCCATAACAACAGCTGTAACATTTCATGCTAGGTACCTTCAAAGTTAGTACATAGGTATTTTGGTTTTACAAACACTTTTACTTGAACAGCTTAGGAATTTCTAATTCCCTAATACAACTTAATAACTTAGAAGATATTTTTAAGCAAATATTTTTATAGGTTTTTAAATGATTAAATAATATTTTTACAACCTGCATGTATGAAATGTGTAGATATAAGTGATATTAATATACATTTAAGATGTCACATTCAAGTTTAATATAGTTGCTGTATAGATCACAATATTCTACTCCACATTCACACATTTTCATTCTCAACTCTGGAAAAATGCAGCATACCATTACAAATTGTATATCAGTTAAGAAGTTGGAAAACAAAAATAATCAACATTGCATGAAACTTTTCAAGTCTTATCAGGAGGTAAGTGGTTTCTAAATTTTTTGTGTAAAAATGCAAGTAAATCTACACTATATGGTCCTTAAAAATGTTGTTATTGTATAAAATGTAACTAACTGACAACTCTTCATGAAAAAATAGATTTCATCAAGTGGCTATAATATATACAATTGAAATACATAAGCTATGTAGTATATAATGTAAATATATCTACATGTGTGTTAAAGTACAAAGTTTTTACACTCTGCAGAATACATTTTTTACCCAACCATGCTAAGTATGTGTGTTGTATAATTAATATCAAAGCAACCACTTGCATATTGATATTTGTCCACATTTTTATCCAGTCAACTTAAATGTAAAGAATTGATTTGTTTTATATTTTAATTTTTAATTTTCACCAGACTAAGAGTACACATTTTATAATCTACTTGAAATTGAATTTATTATAATTGAAAAATAATTATATTAACAGTTTTCAGAAATAAGCATGATATACAAAATAAAATATTTCTAAATTAACAACAAACCCTAATATTAATATATTAACTTGAGATATAACAGTTGGTATACTAATATAGAGATAATAGTTTGAGTTTCAATTGTGAAATAATTAAATATTATATACAATGCTAATTGTTTGCCTATTTATTAAGCACTTTACTGAGTGATGGGGCAGACAATTTAACACCGTTTGGTATGTTTCTAGCAATATCCTGTACATTGACGCTCTTCATCAAGTTTTTTTCTCTGGTTGTTGACGTTTTGTCTTTTAAAAACAAATTCAAACATGTCTT